CGCTGATTTGCCTCCATAGGAGAGACCCATAAAGGTGTTTTAGAATAAAGATGTCTTTTATATTTTTGCCATACTCTTAATAGGGATACTCTCACAAAGTGGTTACCAAAACTCTTTTCTTTCTTTTCCCTTTCGTACCATAAATAAGCATGTCATCCTACTCTTAAGTCATTTCCTTCTATATTTAAGAAGTCTTCTTTGTTCAACAATATCCAATCCTTTATCCATATCAATGCACATGCGTCATGGTATGCTTTAAAATCTGGGAGGCCCAGACCCTCTATTCTTCTTATCAATCAAATTATCATACTTTATTCCGGCCCATATAAATTTCAATATTTCTTTTTTCCATTTTATAAAAAGTGTTTGGCTTCTAATTATCGGGAGGTTTTGAAAAAGGAACATCAATTTCGGTAATACATTCATCTTAATCAAAGATATACGGCCTAAAAGTGACAACTTCAGATGTATCCACTTTTGTAAGTCCTTTTGTATTTTTTTCCAGACTTCTTCATAGTTATTCTTTAGTAATTGTCCATTTTTTGTCGTGATCCATACTCCTAAATATTTAAATTTCTTGACTATTTCCAGACCTGTTTGCTCTTTAATCATATCTTGTTTTCTCTTTTCTACATTTTTCGTTAATAACTTTGTTTTTGACATATTGATTTTAAATCCTGCAACTGACCCAAACTCTTTTATCTTCTGCATCCATCTTAATATATTTTTACTTGGTTCTTCCATTATCCCAAGTACATCGTCCGCAAAGGCTCTTATTTTGTATTCATATTTACCAACTTTGGATCCCTGTATCATTTGGTCTTCTCTTATTGTCTTCATTAATGGTTCTAATGCCATTATAAATATAAGTGGGGATAGGGGACATCCCTGTCTAGTTCCCTTCAGAATATCAAACTCTTCCGTCGTTTGACCATTTATTCTTAGTTTAGCCTTTTGTAAATCATATATCGCTTTTATTGCATTAGTAAATTTATCTCCCATGTCCAGTTCTTGTATTAATATCTTAAAGAAATCCCAATTTAGGTTATCAAAAGCCTTCTCTGCGTCCAAGGCTAGTATGGCAAATTCTTTTTGATGATTCTGTTCATAATATTCTATTAGATCCAATACTAGCCTTATGTTATCCTTCATAAATCTATTTGGTAGAAATCCTGTTTGGTCTTCTTCAATCCAGTTTCTTAAGAAATTTTTTACTCTCTCTGCCAATATGTTCGCCAAAATCTTATAGTCCGTATTTAATAAAGAAATTGGTCTGTAATTTTTAATCTCCGTCTCACAGGTTCCTTCTTTATGAATCAGTACTATTTCTGCCTTCGTCCAAGTTTCTGGAATTTTCTGTTCAGTCATCACTTCATTTAATACCTTTTTTAATAAAGGTATCAATTCTTGTTTAAATGTTCTATAAAATCCAGCTGTATATCCATCTGGACCCGGAGCTTTGTCTGGGTCCATCTTTTGAATTGCCTTCTCAATTTCCTCCTCTGATATCTCTTTATTCAATTGATCCCTTGTTTCCTCATCCACTTTCTGAAACTTAAATTTATTTATATAGGCCATTATTTCTTCTTTATCTATACAATCTTTTGAGTATAATTGTTTGTAATATTTCCTGAACTCCTCCATTATTTCTTTATCTGTTGAGATGATTTTATTTTCCACTTTAATCTTCATGATTTGTCTAGATTGTTGTTTTTTTCGCACTTGTCTGGCTAGCCATTTTCCAGGTTTATTCGCATTTTCAAACGTTTGTTGTTTCAAAAATTTAATTTGATTAGCTTGAGATTCCAATTCCAAATGATTCTTCTTTTGTTTTAATATCTTCAGTTTCTTTTCCAGTTGTGCCTTCTCAGGCTTCTTTTTTAATTCCTTCTCCATATTCATTATATCATTTGTTAAGTCTTTAATTTCTTTATTCCTTTCCCTATTCTTTTTGGAGTTATGTTGAATAAAATGTCCTCTCAGGACTGCTTTCATTGCATCCCATGTTATTTGTGCATTTGTCAGCTTCGTATCATTAATTTCCAAGTAATTTTGAATTATTCTTCTGTAATTAGATCTATCCACTTCTGTTTTTATCAAGTTTTCATTCAGTCTCCATCTTCTAACTCCCTCTCTTTGAAATATAATTAACTCCATTGGGCAATGGTCCGATAGATCTCTAGGGAGGATGAGAGCATCCTGCACTTTTGTCATTAATTTTTTTGTAATCCATATCATGTCAATTCTCGACCAAGACTGATGCCTGTGAGAATAAAATGTATAATCCTTCTTTTCCTCATTTCTTATCCTCCAAATATCTTCCAAGTCCAGCTCTTTTTTTAAGTCCAAAAATTTTTGGGGTAGAGTGCTTGTTTCTACTCCCCCCTTTTTCTTTACTTTCGTCTTATCCAATTGAGGTTGCAACACTCCATTAAAGTCTCCAAGCAATAAAAGTTCATCATACTCAGCCTGTTCCAGGTTGTTTTTCAAAAATTCAACAAAGGATGACTTAGGTCCATTTGGTGCATATATATTACATATCAATAATTTTGTGTTTCCAATAAGAATTTTAACTGCGAGGCATCTACCTTCTTGATCCTTGAATAGTAATTCCGATACCAAATTATCTTTTATATATAATACTACTCCTCGTTTTTTCTTTTCAAATGAAGAGTGATACATTTTCCCTAATTTTTTCTCAGCGAGATGGGATATATGCTTATGACATATATGTGTTTCCTGGAGAGCTATTATGTCATATTTCTGCCTTTTCAACTTGTTAAAGATTTTCTTCCTTTTTTGGGAACTTCTTTTCCATCACTATTAGGGTTATAATTGATCCCTCCTTTATTAACCTCCCCTTATATTTATTCCATACTTCCAGTATATTACTCAGCATTGGGTTTCTAATTTCCCTCATTTCTTTTCTAGTAAACTGTTTAAAAAATATATTCCAAGTTTCATCTTCCACTTTTCCTGAATCATTACTAAGCCAATCTATTCCCTCTTTTTTAACCATTCCTTCTATAACCAAACTTAATCTACTTGCTTCATAATATTTTTTTATATTAGGTAGTGCTAGTCCACCCTCCTTTTGCGATCTATACCATAACTGTTTGTTTAGTCTGTTTCTTTTACTTCCATTGCAGTACTTATTAATCATTTGTTGCCATCTAATTAGTTCTTCTTCTGTGATTTGAAGTGGTAGCATCCTAAATATAAAATTTATTTTTGGAAGTATTTTCATTTTTACTAATGCTATTCTTCCAAACCAGGATAAGCGTATACCTTCGTACTCTATTAACTTTTTCTGAACTTCTTTCCTTAATGTTACTACATTTACTTCCTCTATCTCTTTTAAATCCTTAGTTATTATTACTCCCAAGTATTTTAATTTATTCTTAATTCTTATTCCCATTTTGCTCTGTTCTATAAGATCTTTTTCTTCTTCTCTTGTATAATTAAGTAGCATCATTTCTGACTTACTCCAATTAACTTGTAAGCCTGTTGCTTTCCCAAATATCTCCAAATGTTCTTTTATTCTATCCATTTTCTCCACTATATTTCTATAAATAACAATGTATCGTCAGCAAATAAGCTCACCTTCTGTTTCTCCTTTTTTCCTAACCCTTCTAAATTTTTATCGTTCCTTATGTTACTAGCAAACAGTTCTATCACCATAGCAAATAGTATCAGAGACAAAGGGCACCCTTGTCTAGTTCCTCTAGTCACTTTTATTTCGTTTGTCACTCCGTCATTTATAGTTACCACTGCTGAGTTCCTTGAGTAAAATTGTTTTAGTACTCCTTTTATTCTATTTCCCATTCCAAATTTATTCAATATTTCCCTTAATGTCTCCCATTCCACACAATCGAACGCTTTAAAAATATCTAATGATAATATCCCTGCTTTTTCCTTCCCCTCTTTAGCCCAATGAATTTTATTTAATACTCTCCCTATCAAATTTGACATTTGTCTTCCTTTTACAAACCCGCACTGATCTTCTTTTATGTACTTATACATGCATTTAATCATTCTATTGGCTATTATCGCGGACAATATCTTTGCATCCTGGTTAATTAATGATATGGGCCTATATGACCCTGGATCTGTTAAGTCTTTATAAGGTTTAGGTATTAATATTATTAATGATCTCCTCCATGATTCGGGTATCTTATCTCCCTTCATTATTCCATTATACAATTCCAATAATTTTGGGGTTAAAACTTCTCTAAAGCTTTTATAATATTCTGTCCCTAGACCATCCAGGCCTGAAGCTTTCCCTACTTTTAACTTCTTAATAACTTCCTCTATTTCTTTTTCTTAATAGGTTGTTCCAGTAACTCTTTATCTTTCTGTTATTGCTTTCCTGTAAGGCAGAGAGAATGTGACTTTCCCAAGGTCACCCAGAAAGGCTTCTGTGGCATGTGGAGATTTGAACCCAGAGTCTTAGGCCTCATCTACACTGCCATATAAAATACAAATTATTTACTTTGAACTGGATTAGATGGCAGTGTAGACTCATATAATCCAGTTCAAAACAGAAAATATGAATTATCTACTTTGACCATCTGAATTATCTAGTAGTGTAGCGCCAGCCTTAATCCCAACACTCAAACCACAACATCAAGACGGCTCTCTTATCAGAAGTATAGATGTGCATAAGAATACTAGCAGAGAATACATGGGAAATTTACCTTTAAGAACCATAGGAACACCTGTCCAAGGGTGCATCTACACTGTCAACTTAATGCAGTTTGGCATCACTTTAATTGCCATGGCTCAATGCTATGTCGTTTTACAAGGCCTTGAGACTTTCCTTCCAAAGAGTGCTTTTGCCTCATCAAAACCACAACTCCTTTAATTCCATAACATTGAGCAGTGGCAGTCAAACTGGATTAATTCTACAGTATAGAGTAGGCGTACCACAAATGCTATGCTCTGGTTATCTATAGAGTGGGTAATAGAGACTATTCCTTCAGCAGATACAAGCTTGTTACCTGGGCAGAACTGTCCATTTGTTCTTCTCCAGACCTTCTTTCCCAATTTTGTTTTGAACTGGAAATAGAAATAATTGTGTTTTTAGACCGTAAATATATTGGTTGCATTTTTGCAAATAAACAGGCCTAACCGAGCACTGAGAACAAGTGGTCTCCTTGTGTAAATGCATGTTTCTTGGCTGTGGGTGTCTGGATTATGGAACACCCTTCATTCTTCACCCACAAACACTCTGGAGACATCAGCTATTTTTGATCTTTGTAAAATGGGGTAGCTTTGTATTAAAATTCAAGCTAAACCAATTTCTCTCCCCATTTTTCGTATAGACTGGAATGGTTTTTTTCCCCAATGGAACAGTTTAAAACTTGGCATATCATCATTTCTTCTCAGTATTTAAGGAAAGTGTCATTCTTTCGGAAGTAAAACATTGTGTTGCGCAAATCAAAAATAAAACAGGGGGGTCAGTGGCCAAAGGAAACATGAATTCTGAAATCAATACCAAAAAAGCATTCCTGGTAGTGGTTATTATTCCTGCAGGCATGATATTGATTATGGTTATAATGGTCTCAATCTGAGCTGCTGTCAATAACTCAGTTCTTGTGTTGTCACACTGTATTAAAGAATGGGAGGACTGCAAGGGGGAAGAAAAAAAAGGCCAAAGAAGTTGTGCTAGCATGGCACGGCAAGGAGCAGAACACTCTCATTTTGGGCAAGATTCATCTTGCTATTACATTGCTAAAATAAAGACACACAGTGTAGCCATCCGGCCAAAGGGAGAGACTGAGAAACAGCAGAAAGATCTCAAATTATGACACTGATCTACAGCAAAATTATTCTTAACACATACGGGTTCAATACCCCTTCTTCAAAATGCTTGAGAACAGAAGTGTTTTGAATTCTGGACTTTTGGGAGATTTTGGAATACCTAAGGGCTACCAAGCCCCTGGTGGCACAGTGGGTTAAATCACTGAGCTGCTGAACTTGCTAATCGAAAGGTCACAGGTTTGAATCTGGGGAGCAGCGTGAGCTTCCGCTGTTGGCCCCAGCTTCTGCCAATCTAGCAGCTCAAAAACATGCAAATGTGAGTAGATCAATAGGTACCACTCTGGCGGGAAGGTAACGGCGCTCCATGCAGTCATGCTGGCCACATGACCTTGGAGGTGTCTATGGACAATGCCAGCTCTTCGGCTTAGAAATGGTGATGAACACCAACCCCCAGAGTCGGACACGACTGGACTTAATGTCAGGGGAAAAGCTTTACCTTTACCTAAGGGGCCCCAGTGGCACAGTGGGTTGAACCACTAAGCTGCAGAACTTGCTGACTGGAAGGTTGGCAGTTTGAATCCATGGGACATGGTGAGCTCCCATTGCTAGCCCCAGCTTCTGTCAACCTAGCAGTTCAAAAACATGCAAATATGAGTAGATCAATAGATACCGCTTCAGTGGGAAGGTAATGGTGCTCCATGCAGTCATACTGGCCACATGACCTAGGAAGCATCCACGGACAACGCCGGCTCTTAGGCTTAGAAATGGAGATGAGCAATACCCCCCAGAGTCGGACTCCACTAGACTTAATGTCAAGGGGAAACCTTTTTTTTAATACCTATGTTTCCATTTATGTACATAATGAGATATCTTAGAGATAGGATCCAAGTCGAACCACAATATTCATTTCTTTTTCATATATACCTCATACACATAGTCTGAAGGTAATTTTATACGTGATATTTTAAATAATGTTATTTGCAAAGCTAAGCTTGTGTACATGAACCATCAGAAAGTGAACATGTCACTATTTCAGTCACCCATGTGGACGATTCTAGAGAATCTTGGAATTCTGGATAAGGGACACTCAGCCTATGTATTAGTAACATTCTAGCAAAATGTGAGCCAGAACAAATTTCCGCAGTGATGCTGTCAAGCTGCCTTCAAACTGCAATAAACTGCATTAAATGGTCAATGTAGATGTGCCCTAGGACAAGCTCAATTCCACTCTGACACTCATTGCAACCACAGCAGATAATTATTTACAAAGTTCAAGGCCCCTTTTTAAAATAATCCGTAATCAAGCACTCACCTGCATGACAAGACCTCATTTATCCCATACTAGCAGACATTACTGCCTAATCATGCTGTATTTAAGGCCATCCACCATAACAATAATCTAATTATATTCTAGATTAGCCATTTTAGCACTGTTTCAAATGAGATTAATTCTATGGAGCCAACTTAGGCATCAAAGAAGCAAAATGAAATGAAATGAAATTCCAAGGAAATGAAATGGAATGAAGAATGCTTTGCTAGCACATAACCTGCACGGAAACAGTAACGGTTTACTCAAATGAGGAATTTAAAAAAACCCATAGAGAAATTGCATTGATACACTTTCAGGTCATGTGTACAGAAATTATGCTGCCATAACAACTGATGACTATTAAAAACTCCCTGGGTATAACAGAGGGAGTGTTAGGTTTTCCTTGTTTAACAGGGCATCAAATTTAGATGGATTAAGCAAGACAGTGATAAGAAAACATATCTTTTATATCCAGACTTCACCCCTTCCAGCGTGACATACAAAAAAGGGCTTTCATTGTGCCCTTATCATGGAAAAAGAGAGCGCGCAAGTGTTTTTATAAATGCAGAAGCCTCGGTGCTTCAAAATTAATCACCAGAACCCATGGAGTATTTTGCCAAACTAAGCCCAGTGCTGTTTTTTTAGGCAATACTATTTTCATCTTTTCTCTCCATCATTTTTTTTCAAAGAAGGCATTTTGGCTCTCCTAACCTGTTGTTGTGGAGTATTGAAAATTGGAGAGTTTTTCACTTTCAAAAGGCTAATGCTACTTACAATTAGAAGACTGGCAATGCATTTCACCGAAGGCACATTTCTACGTACATGTGTATGTGTTGAAACATGAGCTAGATTAAATACTTTGCATGACTTTAATTTCTGATATTAGTCCAATTTAAAAATAGATGTTCATACCTTTTAAACAAAACAATAGTTGGGGGGATTGCTACTCAGACATTTGACTCTCCCATAAACATCTTCCAAAAATTTTGCTACCATACTGGGAATATCAGGCTTCATTTATTCACTGTTATTACTGTGATTAACTACTATATTTAGTTATATCCTGCCTCTTCCCCATTAATAGGATTCAAGGTGGTTTGCAACATTGGAAAAAATATATAGATTAAAAACTATACTAACTGATATACTAACTGGTTTTTTAAATTCATTTCAGTTGAGGTTTGGCCTATTTTGGTGGTGAAATTGCCCTGGAATTTCTGTAGGATGATCTTTGACAAATAAGAGATAGAGAAATGTAACTGTTGACTTCCTGTGAGACAACTTAAAGGAAACCAAAGAAATCTTCATATTACAGGTATTTTAGACAGATTGCAATAGTTCGAAACACCTGACGGGCCACAAGTTTGAGACCTCAGTTCTAGACCTTTCGGTGAGTGCTCCTATCATCAAGCATAGTAGAAAACTAGTGTACTTTAGTAACATGGACAGGGATTTGAAAGATCCAGGTTATAGTCTCCTGCTGAGCCATAAATCTCACTGGTTGCCCTTGGTTTAGTCCCTTTCTCTGCCTGCCTTATCTCACAGGGTTGTAGAGAGAAGACATGAAGAACAGGAGATACATGTTCATCACCCTGAGCTGATAAGAGGAAAGTGGGATAAGCATGTAACAAAGAAAGAAAAAAAATCTCCTCCTGGAGAGGCTGTCCACATTTATTACCAGCAGGCACTGCGCTTCAGTAGTGCAGAATCCGTAGCCATTGGTGCATGACACAACGAGCCAGGGCTCCATGGAAACCCTGACTTATGAGCTACCAGAAGTGCACTAGCATAGACTGCGTGACTGCTCCCATGGCTAGCAAAACCATCAAGCAGAGCATGCCATCCAAACAAGAATGCAGCTGCCCCCTTCCCCTGTTGCACCTCCCAAGAAGCTACACAGAGGGACCTAACTGGCTTATTTTCAGTATAGAAACCAGAGTAACTACTGCATCCATATTGGTGGTTGACAGGCATGTAGCCGGGGGGGGGGGGGGGGGGCTTGGGGGGCTTCCAGCCCCCCCCCAAATTCTCATGGTGGTCCGAGAAGGCCTTACTGGTACATTATTTAAACTGTTATGTTTATTCATATCATGATCTGATCACCATGCTCAATATATCCCATATGCATGGGGGTATTGGGGTAACGATACAAAAGGTTTGCTAGGGTAGACCTCTTTCACTCAGACTCAGCCCCCCCCCCGAATCAAACTCAGCTCCCCCCAACAAAATCCTGGCTACGGGCCTGGTGGTTGGTTTATACCTTTCTGTTGCACAGGAGAGCAAGCAAACGGAATGCACCAGCACACAAATAAGCCAGGACGTCCTCTTATTCCTTCACAACAATTTAGATTTGTTCCCCCAGATAAAATCATTGCTTCAGCAGTCCCAAAGCATTTCTTGGCTCTTCCAAAAGAAACAATGTTCCTGCATGCATAAGTACAAATTTCAAAGTTGTGCAAGAACTCTTTCCAGCAACCTTTTTTATATGTGGCTAGCATAAACCTTTGAGGAAGCACTGAATGGGCAAAAAAATGGTCTAAGTATCTCAAAGATACATTGGTGCACTTTCCTCTGCAGCACCCATGAATACAATGGGAAAATCTTGTTTAAGAAAAAAGAGTTCATGCTTTATGCTGAATTGGCACTTGGGAGATTCAGCTCTAGTTGCCATAAAACTGACTAGATAACTAGTCAGTAAACTGCCATAAAACTGACTAGATAACTGACTAGATGAGCCATAAAACTGACTAGATAACTGCAGACTAACCAGTGGCTCTAAATCAGAACATCCTCACAGGATTGTTGTTGGGAGGATAAAGTCAGGGAGGAGAAGAGCCATGAACACTGTCATTAGTTTGATGCTCAAGCAAAGGAAGGTATGCATATTGCTAGAAAGGAAATAAAGAAATAGCATATACTTAGGAAATTCTCATTAGAATACCTGGAGAGTTTTATCACTTGTTACTTCAATGGTAGACAAGTGTAG